TATTGCAAACATTTTCACAAACTGCATAGCAAAAAATGAGTAAGCAGTTCTGCATTTACTGATATGGGGGTATTTTTGAACAGTTACAAATGAAATACAAAGGTTGGTTTGGAAGCTCATACAAAGACAGCGCAGAAGAAGGTACATGAAAAACAAAGGGATGCAGATGGACTGTGTGCAATGTAATGTCCACTGGAATTTCTTTGTGCTTTTCTTCCCTTACAAGTTTCTTTCTTTTTACATCCTCTTATGAAGTGTCACTCTTGGGTCTCCACACTGAGTTATTCCATAGTCCAAGAATGTGGGAATCATGGCTTTTGATAATAGAAACCTCACATTATTTCAGACAGTTTACAGTTGCTTTTGCTGTTACATCCTTCCCTCTAACCCCTCAGCAAACAACCCCTTTCAATGCCACTAGACAGGACACAAATTTAGAGGATGGCAGAAATTATGCAGCTGAGCAGTGTGGGCACACTGGGAGGGCCTGCCTTCTGTGTCCTTGATTCCTTCACTTAGCACAGGACTGCAGGAGGAGGCAGAAGTACCTTTCCATCACCTCTGCAGCTTTCAGCCCTGACAGTCCTAAGTTATTCCAAGCTGTCTACATCCACCCAAAGTTATTAGTGAGCTGAGAGCAGTTAGTACATGCAGATCACTCTTTATGTTGGGGAAATCCATGTTGGCTGGTTGCACTGGCTTTACAGACCCTCGCACCCATGAGCTGGTGGGAAGAGTTGTAACTAATGGAGAACAGGTTTAAGGTCTCTCCAGGACAGGTGCCAAGATGCCAGATTCCAACTGTATCCCTCCTAGCTCTGCTCCATCCTGATGGGTACAAGCCAAAGTAATCCCAGGCTCAAAATCAGCATCTCTGCCCTGTTGTTGATTACTGTGTGCCATGCACATTTATGAAGCCTTCATCTCTCTGTAAAGATATCAGAGATTAGAAGAACAGAGGAAAACTTGCAAATGGCAGTGCCTCAGCACCTCTTATCTCAATCTTTATGAGAGCTGATGATTCTGGGAATGTGAAGCTTATACATAGTCACTGCGCCCACAAAACACTGACATCACATGACCAGCAATAAACCCAGCTCTCATATTTCTGGACTGGAGAACACGCCTCTCCCTGCTTCTTGGTGTGAGATATGTCATTTGTTTTCTATTGAAATTCACTCTCCTCCCACAGAAGCCTTGCCTTGCCATACTAGCCAGTAGAGGATGTTATTGAGAAAATACACATTGAATTAGTAGGAAGAACAGTTTCCCTTAAGTATGTTTTATTATATATCTAATACTTTTCATCTTGAAATATAAAAACTTTACAAATACTGTGATATTATTGAATAAATACCCTTATGCCTACTGCATGGCATGAATCACAGTAGATTAATAGAGGCAATTATATGTAAGATTAAATTGCCTAAGCCATTTGCCCTACTAAGCCAATCCCTGTGCTGTGAAGTCTATCAGTGCCACTAATTCCCAGAGATTTTCCTGTGGAGGCAGGTATTTAATGATTTTGAATATCAAATCCATGGTATCCCAGACTGGCTGTCTAATGCCTGTAATCATGTTAAAACGCAGCACTAAGCAACTTGCCTGAGGCAGCTCAGTGAGTCACTGGAAGAGAAAGCAGAAAACTCCTGACTTGCATTAGCTGCTCAAGCAGACATGGAGCCACTTGCAAAATTATGACAGGGAGGACTGTCCATGCTGTGGGCTTCTCCAGTGTCTTGGGTTCCAGGCCACGAGATGCTGGGTGTCAGCCCCTGCGACAGGCACACATGTGTGGGGTCATATGGAGCCAGGTGTGATGTCTGGGTGCCTCAGGTCGTGAAGCCACAGGAGCTCATGGCTCTGCACCAAAAACACAGCAGAGAAAGGTGCCTGGTGAGGAGCCTGGGAGTGACCATTAGGGTCCTGCTGCTGCCAGCACCTGCTGTGCCCCCAGCTCTGCCCACAGCCCGGGGAGCAGGAGGCAGAGAAGAGTGAGCTGAGATTTCCTCAGGCAGGGCTGGGAGAAAGGGGCTTTCATCTGCCTCAGTGCACATCTGTACCCAGGAGGTGTCCTCAGCTGAAATACCCAAGCTGCTACATCAACTATTTTCCACTCGGCAAGAAATAGTTACACATTGGATGTAACACACAGAAATCAGGCTGTATCTGGTTTTCCAGCCTGTCTCCAGGAGTGAGACCCCAGCCCAGAGCTTGTTTTCATCCTCTTGGGACCAACCCTTCTGCCACCCCATTCCCTCTCATCAACACCAACATAAGGAATCTGAGGCAATCTGAGCTCAGCCAAACCTTGGACAAAAAGATTGAATTATTTCTTCCTTTCTTCTTTCCTTTCTTCCTTTCTTTCCTTTCCTTCCCTCATTCCTTCTTTCCCTCTTTCTTTCCTTTGTTCCTTCATTCCCTAGTTCCCTCTTTCCTGTTTTCCTTCCTTCTTTTTGTTTCTTTCCCCCATCTTTCCTTCCTTTTTCTTTCTGTTTCTTGTGAATCTCTTTCTCTGTAAAATCTGTCCAAATATTTACAAAAGGAAATGCCGGGTTGTGAAACTGAATTCGGAGAAAATGTTACACATGCTGAAGAAATGCATCCAGGACTGCTTCCAGATGTTCCCACATGCATTTTTGTTCTGTGTCTCAAGTACTGAGGCTTGATCCTTCATCTCTTTATTCAGACAAAACTCACACCAAGGGCAGCAAGATCCAGGCTCGGGTCAGGTCCAACAGTGCTGTAATTCTGGCTTTGCTGCAGCAGTTCAGGACTCATTTTGGCCATGACTGACAAGTTAAAAACCATGAATAACCAGTATTACTGGGTAACCAGTTTGTGCAATGGGCCAGTTCCAGGCCAGGGGTTTATCTATACTTGTCACCAAGTTGCTAACAAATTTGCATCAGTGTCAGTCAGTGCAGGAGCTGTCTACAGCCCTCTATTACCCTCCTAGATAAACATCAGCCAGGTTGCACTGGGAGATCCATGGCCTCTGGAGAAAGCCAGCCAGGTCTCTGGTCCCACTGAGACAAAGACAACACGCTCAGCTGTGACATGATGAAATTGCCATGAAGTAATTTTCCCAGGCAGTCCATAAAGCCATGAGTGAGGCTTGCATGTTGATATGGACTTGTACATATTTCAGCAGAGCAACGTGGGAACTGTTAAAGCCCAGGGAATAAAAGGGGTTGAATGCCAGCAGTGGGACCCATCTGCTGAAAGAAAGGCATCACCTCCCACCCCACACTTCATGCTCTTGTTTCTATTATTACCCTTATAATGACATTGTGGCCTGACTGCAAACATGGATTGTTTGGGAGGAAGGGGTTAATTTTGTATTTCCTGGCTTTTGTTAAGGCAGGAAATCTAACTCTTAAGAAAGTCATTCAAGCTCCTAAAAGCCACTTCAGCCCTGTTTTGTATTTTCCTTTCTTTCATTCTTATGGCAGGTTTATTTAGGAAAAGAAAACAAAAATAGAGTAAAGCAAGGAAATAGCTAGTCCAGGATTATAAGTGATTAAGTACACACTGCCACATGTGATGAATTTTTTTCTTCCTGATTTGCACTGAGTGTAAACAAGACCAGACTCAAAAGTCTCCTAATTACATAAGTCCATCGAAGAGCAATCATCATTGTTGTGGAGTTAAATTCCCTTTGGGAAAAGGTCTCAGCTGGATGCCTTCCCTGCACTGCCTCAGAGCACCCAAGGTATCTGACATACAGTGTCTGGCCCATATTTAATATTTGTGTGATGCTGGTTAACATCACAGCTGAAAGGGGCTTGTCATTGAAAGCACATTCTCACTCAGCTATGCAGGTGCTGGACAGGATAATTTCTTTAAACTTGGGAAAAAGTTAAAGTTGCCAAACTTGCAGGAAAAAGAAAGAAAGAAAAAAATCTGTCTTTTGGCTTTGTTTTCTATGTGGGATATTGGGAAGAGTTTAGGACAAGAGAAAAAACTATCAGAGGCAAAGGGCTGTGGGCATCTGTGAGCCAGGGCTGGTTGTTCCCACAACAGGGCACACTAGTGACACAGCACCCTTAAATACCCTGCTTTCCATTCAAGCATTCAACCCATGCTGCTGCTCCTGCAATGCACAAGACTTTGGGCTGGATGGAGGAGCTCAACATCCCAATCAAGTGCCCTGAGAGAAGGACCTTCCCAGCTCCTAATCCCACAGGGCTTCTCTGCTGTGGCTGAGCACAGTCCTTGCTTCTCCTGTGCTTCTGGAGGCAATACCTGGCTCCCACTCACACGCCAAAGGGAAGTGATTCCTGGATATAAACGTACAGAAAGGTCAACGCCTGAGGTCCCTATCAAAAGGAGGGCATTTTTTCTAGGAAAAGTTGATGAATAAAGTATAGCCCTGTCACCATCTGCTATACTGGTTTCTGATACAAAAAACTGGCAAGGAATTGGTCATTGGTAAGTCCTGCTGTTCGTCTCCTTAGAAAAATCTGGGTGGGTCGGTGCTGGATAAATCAGACACCAGGTCACCAGAGGCTGACCATGCCATGGTGTTGATACCAGGTCTCGTGAGGAGCTGGCTCAGGGGGCATGGGAAGAGGACATGCAGATCCACTGCCACCAGCAGCACAGCCCGTGCTCCCTGCCCCCCCGAGCTCGTGGTGCCAGGGACGTGTGTCACCCCCCCAGCTGCCAGGCCCCCTGATCCACAGCCAGGGACCCGCTGGGGCAGCTGCAGGGTCCCAGAACACTGCGTGTTGGTGTGGCTGAACAGAGGCATCTCACAGCACTGAAGTGTACGAGCTTTCCTCTCACAGTCCCTTTCCAACCTGCTGTTAAAAGAACGACCACAAATAAATGGAACGGGATGCAAAGTTTGATCCTGTGTTTATTTTTAAGGAATGTGTTGGAAAAAAAAATAAATACAAGACTTGCTTTCAGGCTGCAGCTCTGGCCAAATCCCCACTGCTCAGCAGAGCAGAGACAGACCTGTGATAAGTGGGTGAGCTGGGGCTGGCACTCACCTGCCTGTGCCCATCCCTGTGTCCTCTCCTCCCAGCCACCCGAGGGAGCCTGGAAAGCCCTGGAGCTCTTGGCCAGATACAAAGCCCGGCTGGGTTTAGAAGAAGGTCTGAGGTGGTTCAAACCGAGGAGACATCACTGGGGGAGAAGGTGGAAAGTTTAAGGACTGATGGTTGGCAGCCCTGGTGGGGCAGGAGGGTGGGAGAGGAGCCCCAGGGTGAAGGCTGGATGGAGAGGTCTCCGCCAAGAGCAGCAGCTGAGGAAGGGAAAACAGGAAACTGCTCAAAGTGGGGAGGAAAGAGGAATGTGGCTGGTAGCGCGGGGGAGGGGGAATGACCGAGAGAGGGCTGGGGGAAACGGGCTGAAGCAGGAGGAGGTGCTGGGGGCACAGGGAGCCGGCAGGGCTGGGGAGGCAGGGGAAGTGAAGCGGTGCTGACTGGAAGCCCTGAGTAAGAAGCAGCCGAGTGTGTTGGTGGGAGCTGGTCACCCACGGGGAAAAGAAAACTTTTGGGAAGTGCTGCTGCATGACCAAGGGGGAGGAAAAAGAGAGGTCCCGCTGCTCCACTGCTGGTTACTGGGAGCCCCCACTTCTGGGGGTGTTTGCCATGTGGAAAACGAGCTTTGCATGGGGTGCAGGTCTACTACATTTTTTTCCTCACACGTAAAATGTGATGGGAGAGGCTCTCGGAATATGTGTTTACATTATAAATACATATACAAATCTCATGTGTGGAGATGTCTCTACATGTATATATGTCTATGCATGAATACAAACAGATGTATGCTACGCTCGTCTCTTTATACCTACATTTCAGGAGAATATGCGTGTCTGCTCCCTCGGCTTCCTGCCCCAGCAGCGCCCGGGTTCCTGCGGGAAAGGGGGGAGCAGCCGGAGCTCGGGGGGCAGGGACAGACCAAGGCTGCCCCGGAGCCGCGGGGCGGGGGATGGGGGCACGGGCGGTGGGGGGGCCCAGCCCCAGGGCGCCTGTGACGGGAGCGGGC